TTTGGCAGAAGAAATTTTCAGGCAGTCGAATATTAAGGTTGTGGCATGGTTGCTGTTGGGGGCTTTTAGCCAGATCTATGTTGAGAATCAAGAGTAGAGAACCCAGCAAGATGATTTAAAATGTTATGAGTTTGGCCAGGAGCAAGGTCCAGTAAATCTGTGGAATGATAAGATAGCACTAAAGGGATCTTGATTGCTGAGAAGGAACAGCAGAATAGAAAAGATAGCCTGAGGGCATCACAGGAAGCAGCAAGTCTGCACCTTTTGTGGCCTCAAATCTGTAAAAGTGAAAGACTTTGCTTTGAGGAGAAAGCTGTAGAACACCATGTTCCAGAATGCTGACAGTATGGAAAATCTGTTCCTCGGAATAGGATTCAGACTGCCCAGTGATCTAGGCACTCAACCTTATGGCCAAGAGAGAGAAAATCCTGGCTACTGCTCCAGCTGGCAGCAGACCTTGGCATCATCCACATAGTGCTGGTTTTAGGTACATGCAGAATGCAAGAGTTGTAGGGTTAAGGAGGCTTCCACCTCAATTTCAGAAGGTCTGGAAGGCCAGGTAGCATGCCCCTAATAGGACAATATGTGAAGTTGTGAGGATAAAGATAAAGATACAATGGAGACCCTTGAAGTTTGGGAAATCCAGGAACCTGAATCATCTAAGGAAACCTACAGAAAGGGATCAGAGTGAGCCACAGACAGAATCCATGGAAGCTACAACCACCAGAAGTGCCATAGAGGCAAGCCCTTTGGAACTTTCTCAGACTGCTTCAGATGCACATAGAACTATAGGATTTAATGTTTGCCCTACTGGATTTTGGACCTGCTTTGGTCCCAATGCTTTGTAACACCCCCCCACCACCACCACTCCACCCTGTATTTGTCACTTTGGGAATGGAAATGTTTGTCTTGTACCATTGAATGTTGGAAGAGTTTAATTTTGTTTTCATTTGTATAGGGGCTTGCAGCTGAGAATTTCCTTACATATTAGAGGAGACTTAGACTTTTCAACAATGCTGAAACTGTTAGGACTTTGGCAACTCTTACAGATGGACTAAATATTTTTTGCATAAAGGGATGTGCATGAATCTTTGGGGGTGGGTCAGGGGAAGAATGTTATGGTTCTAATTTAATATAATATCAATAGACAATACTGGTTCATAAGGATTGTTTAACCTGTGTTATAATGTTCAAGTTGTAAAATACTAAGAATAAGCATGTCTTTGTACCTGGAGATCCATTTAAAGGAATGTATCTGGTTGCCAAGTTGACAAAGGATACATTGTAATGTTTGATAGCTTGTGTCAATTTGAGAATTGAAAAACATTCAGAAGCTTAACTATGTGACTCAGCAGGGGGGCAGGGTCTTCACCTTGTAAACATCTTGGGCCTGTGCAAGAGGAGGGCGTGGAGATGGTGTAGGCAGGTAGCCTGCATACAATACAGGGGAGGAAAAGAGGCTTGCTCCACGCAAGCCTTTTGCTGTCTTCTGCTACTATGAACTGTTGCCCCTGTGCCATGCCATCCTCCCTTGGAGCCAGTTGATTACAGACTGAAACCTCCACAAACTGTGAGCTAAATAAACCCTTACTTCCTTAATTTTGGGTGCTAAGTATTTTGTGTCAGCAATGAGAGAAAAGTAATCAAGACAGTTGTCACCAAAGAACCAGCTTGTTAATTTAACTTCAATTTCAACTGCAGGAACCACATATGGCTGGTGGTTACCATATGTAACATTACAACTCGGACCACATGCAATTCTCTGACCAGGTTGCATTTTCTCTATCACCTGATATGAGAACTGGGGAGCTATTTTCCCTGACAGTTTTACCTAACCAGCATCCCTCCTTCAGATAACATAACCTCTCTTCCATTCAGACAACCTCCCAGGGATGGATATGTGACTCTGAACTGGCCACACTATCCAGGAAAGGTCATTCTGGGTTAGTCTTTGACCCTTGTAGGATCTGTTTAGAAAAATACACTCTCCGAATTTGCCCCCATGTGGAATGTGTTTGGAAATTAAATTATCAGAGAAGGCAGACTCAGTGGTTGAGGAATTTCTCATTGATTTGAACACCTAGACCCAGCTTTTCATGAGGTGCTGCTGCTATTCTTTTTAGTCACACACACCAAATAATCTCCTTTTAGCCAATATAAATGTGAATTAGATTTCTCTCACTTGCTACCAAAAATATTCTGACATGTAGTACACTGCTCAGCTAGGATTCATTTTGATTTATTTTCTGTCAACAGAGTACTTAATTTTAAACCCAGCACAAATATCATGTCCTCTACAGTCTTCCCAAAGAGCACAGCAGAAATAACTGGTCCTCTGTGGTGCTCCATAAATCGTGCTCTATGTACTTATCTTGGCACACGTCAGCCCACAGTATGACTGGTTTATGCTCTTCTCTCTCTCTGTCCATCTCTGCTAAGTCTCCATAAACTCAGTGTACAGCACATTTTAGCACTGAGCACTCACTCAGTGCTGTGAAATTGAAGATAAATTCGCCTTACTTAATCTATATTTCATGAAGTTTATTGCTGTCTTTTATTTGTCAAAATATCCATGCATTTTTAAAAATCTATGTATATTGGTTTTAACCTTATGAAATTGCTGATATCTTATCTTTTTTGGTTCTAAATATGGCAATTTCATATAGTTCAACACAATAAATATTGATGATGATTATAGATATCTTAAAGCTACTTTATCATATCTGTAGTCAGCAGACAGAGTCTATAAATCTAAATACTAAAAATAATAAAGAGGCAGACAAAGATACCAACACCAAAGAGCACCATGAATACGTGAAGATGTTTATTTTTTTAATCAATACTTGGATGGCATTAACTGTGTTCTAAGGGCTCCAAAAACCATCCATTCATTTTACCCTCAAAACTTGTATGTGAGGTTGGTATGATCTTCATTTGACAGCAGAAGCAACTGAGGCAGAGACACTAGTACTTTGTGAAAGGTCACATGGTCACTACATGGCACAGCCAGGATTCCAATCCAGAGTAGTTTGCTTCCTGGGTCCTTCCTCAAAACATAAACTATGCTAACTCTTAATCATGATGCTACTGCTGTGAGCTAGCAGAAAACCTTTAGAAAAGTAATCTGTCCAACAAATTGAATTGAGGGATGGCTCGTTGGTGTGTGTGGACACTGTTCCAGCTATCTACTACTGCATAACATATCTCCCCAAACACAGCACTGTAAACACGATCATTCATTGTGCTCACAAATCCTGCGAGTCAAGGAATCAGGGCAGCAACAACAAGGAGGCCTTGTCTCTGCTCCAGCAGCCCTGTAACCTTAAGTGGAATCATTTTAATGGAGTGGTGGGCAGAGTCATTTAGGAGGCTTCTCTACTCCTAGTTTTGAGTCTGAGCTAAAATGGCAAGAAAAGGTGGGATGGGAGGAGCCCGGAGCCCTGACACCTACAAGCGGAGCTTCCTGGGGTTTAGGCTTCTCAGCAGAGCTGTTGCGCTCAGGGAGACGAGGTCTGAATGTGGAGATTCTGGGATTCTGAGGATAGAGCTGCAAGGCTTTAGACCTGGCCTTGGCTTCCTCACATATCGTGCTTATGAGCCAGCCACAAAAGCCAGCCTCGACTAAAAGGGAGGGGAATCCGGGATGAGAAGAGGCATACTGTGGCAGCTGCCTTGGAAACCCATCTTGGCACAGCCACAAAGATTGCTGACAGATAATTGGCTCAGAATATTTTCAGCTATGAATAATTGAGCAGCCAATTAACAGCACTTTAAACACCAATGAAAATATATTCTCTCATGAAATAGAAGAGCAAGAGGCAGGGCAAGCCCTGAGCTACTCTAGTTGCTCAATGATCTCACCAAGGGCCACAGCTTTCTGTCTTTCCCTTTTGCCCTCTCAGCACAAGCCACTGGATCTCCAACCTTGGTTTCTGGATGGCTGCAGCAATTCCAAGTATCAGAAGGAGATAGAGCACTATCAAACAAAGAAGAAAAAATGATGTTTCATGCCACGACTTCCTTTTACTTAGGAAGAACCACTTCTCCCAAAACGGCCCGCTGACCAATGAGACCTGACATTGCCCATGGCCTTGCCATAGCTAGAAAGCAAAGTGTCTAACATTTTTGCTTCTACAAAATCAGAAATGCTTCCGTTAGTGAGAAACAGAGAGCAGAGAATGCATAGCTAGGCACAAGGACTGTTGTGCAGGCAACACTAATGTCAGCCTCAGGGACACGATATTCATTTGCTCCACAGCTATTCACTGTTAGTTAAATGATGCACCACGCACAGTGCTTAGACACAGAAAAGGTCACACAACATTCCTGCCCTTGTAAGGCTTGTGGTTTGGCGCAGAACAGAGACATTTAACAAACCATCACACAGTTAAATACAAGTGTGTTAAGTGCTAGGAAAAGAGGTATGTGGCAGAGGACCATTAGCTATGGCTATAAAATATTTATTTGCAGAAGTATATTAAAATGAAAAGTGGGGTTATAGTCACAAATACTGAAAGAAGCCTAAAGTCTTCATTAAGTCGTTAAAAAATCATTGAAAATGTGAATTTCCCCACTATGTAAGACTGAAGCACTCTCTGGCAGATAGAAGTATCCCTGTCGCTTGGAAAGTCCCTCCCCGTAGGGTGTGAGAACATCCTTCACTGGAGTTTCCAACAGGCCCGTGATCACCCTTAAGATCATCTGATCGTCTAGCAAATGCATCTTCACCAGACAAACTTTGGGTTACTTTCATTCTTGCCCAGATAGCATGGATACAAGATTAGAATTTTCCAGTCTCTGGAGAGTTATCACTGTAAAATGTCATTTTGTTGAATTCAGTCTCAGTGTGAACAGTGTCAGGCCTGAACGCTTTATGATAACCTAAAAATCCAGGAAACAGACTTTAAAGGTACAAAGAAAGACTGGGCACTCAGGGTGTGCCAGCTGGGTGCACGCCCAGAAACCAAACTCAGACTTGCTCTCGCCAACACCAAACCCACCTGGTACATTCCTTTGATGATAGCAATGGCATCAGCTAACTGCTGCTGAAAGCTTTTTCTAATCTTCTCCTCATTCTGCAAACCAAAAATAAATACAGTAAGCACGACAGTGTGTTTCCAAATACAGCTCACATGTACTAGGGAGGAACTCTGTGGAAAACCCACCGTCAAAATCACAGCAATCTCTCGAGAAGTTCAACTTATAATCGTTTCTCTCACACTAAGCTATTGTAACAGTTAAATTTTACTTACACTTCACCAAAAGCAATAACAATAAAATTAATGCAGTATAGATAATACTGGCAAAATCTGAGGTTGAGGCTGAGACAGGAGGATCATGAATTCAAGGCCAGCCTGGACAACAAGTAACAGAATGCTTTTGTGGTTCATAGCTCCTTCTGGTCTGTATACTTTTTGACGAGATAGGTGCGTGAAAAGAAGTCTGGAGGGGCCAATCTATCAACTACAGTCATTCTCAGATCAATCAGATACCTTGGTTATTTAGGCAGGAAAAAAAATAAAAGAGTGCATTTTTGAAAAAATGCTTTTGATTCTGATATTGATTCTGATTCCAGCATGGAATATAAACAGCAAATAGGCTATTGAGCAAGAAAGGATTGAATTTATTATCTAGATTAAACCTTGATGAGCTCCTTTCTAATCCACAGATCATGTTAATAGCGTTTCCATTTTAGGATTTCAAAAACCTATAAGGTATACTTATTTAAAAGACTCAGCATATTTATTACATTGTAGTCAACAAAATATGAGTTTTCTTTCACAGACATAATAACTGCCTGATGGTAATAACAGATAAGTTGGCTACCCTAACCAAAGATTTTAGAAAATCCCCGGAAGCCCCAGTTTTCATCCCCTGGTTCCTACAGAGCCACTAAAGTACAAATAACCTCCTATAAAGTTGTGGATAAAGTAGGTGTGGTGGTTCATGCCTATAATCCAAGTGCTCTGAGAGGCTGAAGCAGGACAATCGTAAGTTCCAGCACATCCTGGGCAATTTAGACAGTCTCAAATTTAAAAGGGAGAAAGGTGTTGGGAGTGTGAAGCCCCAGAATTCAGCCACTGGTACTTGGCAAAAAAAAAAGTGTGATTAAATACAAACACTCAAAACTGAGTGTAGTGGCCCACGCCTATGATCCTAGCACTTAGCACTCCAGAGGCCGAGGCAGGAGGATCACCGCAAATTTGGGGCCAGCCTGGGTTACACAGTGAGCTCAAGGCCAGCCTGAACTGCATAGTGAGACCCCATCTCAAAAAGACAAAAAAAAAAAAAAAAAAAAAAAAAAAGAACAAGAACTCAAGCATCAAGTTATTTGACCTGAAACCTGACTTTTCTTTCTGCTGTTTAATGGTGACCTTGAGCAAGTTAATTAAACTTTCTATGACTCATCTGTAAAGAAAAAAGATAATTATACCAATTTTAGGTTAATATGAGAATTAGCCAGTTCATAAACAAGGTACTTTAAAAAAAATTCCTTGTACAAGGCCAGGTATGGAGGCGTACTTCCCAGAATTTGGGAAGTTGAGGCAGGAGGATCACCATAAGTTTGAGGTCAGTCTGGGCTGTTACATAGTGAGCTCAATGCCAGCCTGAACTACAGAGTGAGACCTTGTCTCAAAAAACAAAAGCAAACCAAAAAAAAGTTCTGACACAAAAACAAAGCTCAAAATATTAGTTGCTGTATGAGATGCAAATTACTTCCCCTTTAAGACTCTAATTTCAACACTGCAGTACACACACTCTGAAACACATCAGTGCATATTTAAATGAGAAGAAAGGAGAGAATGTCTACCTGGTGACAGTGCTTCTCCATCTCTAAGATCCTGTCATACAGAGCAATGAAGATATTAGAAGACTCCTCTTTAAGTCGCTCCTCAAACTTCAACTGCACCAATTCTTTAAGGAACCTAAAATCCACCTGAAGGGATGTAATAACCTAAAAATTGAAAAGTATGCAATGAGGCACATAACTCAGTACCTGCCAAGTTTACCTCTCAGTCTGGGGTGTATGTTAGGGGTTCCAGTAACCCCATCTCCGGGTGGCTGGGATTTCCAAAGGACAGCTAATCTGACCAAAGGACCAATCTTCAAAGCTGATGTTGCTGAGTTTAATCCTGAGTGTGAGGTATGAAGCGGGTGGAAACTTCATCTCACTATGGTGTTAGGAAGTGGGCTTTTAGGGCTGGATGGCACCATCGCCATTGTGGAATGGAAGGAAACAGGAAGCAGGTGCCGGAAGAAGAGAAGAGAGAGGAGGGAACAAGTAGCAGCACCAAGTACATGTGAGGTGTGTCTATCAGAAGACTCCCCTGAGCTGCCACAATCATTTCCTCCAAATCCGACGGATTGAAGTTTAGCCAGATGAACACACCCATTATAAGAGGAAGAAACTATAAAACATTTCTGAAAATTGTCTTTATAAAAGAAGACAGTAAATCAGCAAGGGTATAGGAAAGAGACATCCTCAAAAGCTACCAGTGGGAGTATAAATTGGTACAATCTCTATGCAGGGCAATTTGGCAATATCTTTAAAATGACTAATGCTTGCATCCTCTGACTCAGAAATCCTGCTTTTAAGAATTTACACCACAGATTTCCTGGCAAATGAATATGTGCAGGATTATTCATCACAGTAAAAGATTTGAAACTACCAAAATGTCTATCAGCAGAGGGATAGCTAAATATATGATATACATTTTGTGTCATGATTTACTTATGAAATAAATGAGGAAGGTCTTTATATGCCAACAGAGGGTGAGTTTCAAGTTATATTAAGCAAAAAATAAAAACAAGGTACATAAGAGCATTTGTAATGGTATGCTACTTTGTGTAACAATTTTATTAAGATTTTTAATAATAACCCTTGATACATGATGTATGGGAAAGGTTTTGTTCTGCAACAGTCAAAACATCCCAAATAAAGTATGGCAAAATATTGACCTTTGACAAAACTGTGACAGGTGTTGTAGTCAGGGATTGCAAGGAAAACAATTACACACTGGACACATAATTTACAGTATTATTTATATAGTTACCCCAAGAGTCAATACAAAGAGTGTGCAGGAAATCTGGCCACACATTAAAGACCTAGAGAATCCAGATGAGGGCCTGGATCCCACAACCATATCCTGCATGAGTCCAGCTAAAGACCTAGAGCCCATGACAGTGCCTCCCACAAGTCTAACTGGAGGTCTAAGGCCCTCGACAATGACTCATCAAAGTCTTGTTTTACATATCTGTGCTGGGAAGGCCCAGAGGTCAGCAGTGGACACTAGAAAGTCTGTGCCAGTAGGATGAAGGATCTGTGCCAGTAGGTTGAGGGTTTTACACTGGAGCCAAGAAGCAATACTCCAAATAGGCACCCAGGCTCTGCTGAAAAGTACCACAGCCATTCACAGTGACAATAATCCTCTGATGAGGAGAACAAATGAGTTCATATCAGGAAGCCAGCCTGACAAGCTTCTCCTGAGATTGAGCAGCACACATCTTCCCCTCTGGAGCCAGGAAGCGATGCTCAATGTAAGGAGCAGAGCTCCCCTAAAGTGAACTGCAGTCATTCTCGGCGACAGCAATCCCAAGCTCCTCTGACAATCAGAACAGCCAAGTTCTTACCAGGAAGGAAGCTTGACAAGCTCCTCCAGGAGAAACCACGGGAATGGGAGTACCAACGGCACCAAACAACATCAACTACAAAGAGCCAACGACACTACTCTTTCTCTCCAGGTCTCCTTTTCATGGTGGTGGTAATCCTCAGGTGGGCCATCCACACTCAGCACCATGCTGATTCAGTTCAGCTGGTATTTAAATTGGTCATCAGTTTTTAATCCATCATACCAGGGAACATAGTTTTTTCATATACCATTCTCTACATTCTCTCCCTATATGCAAAAGATTCTATAAATTTTTTAAAGTATCATAAATAGAAAATGCACAAATGTCGAAAGCATAAAAAGTAACAAAACATTTTACTAAAAACACTAACATATGAAAGCATGACATAAATACAAATCACAGTTTGTATTCATTTTTAAAACTCCAATCATCATTCAGCTCACTTTGTCAAAGAGGATACTGTTTTAAAATTTTTCATCAAGTCTGTCGGTGAAAGATAAATGAAGACAAGCAATGCTAAAACTTACCATAGAAGTTTCAAAATAAATACAGATTTACCTGCACTAAGTTTTGTGTAGATGAGCTTAACTCTTTTATTGGCAAAATCTCACTGGTATCTGTTTGGGTAGCATGGTCACTGGTGAAAAAGCCAATTTTTAGATCATCTGAAAGAACATATCTGAAAAAAATAGATTGCACATTTTAATTGATAAAATATTTCCTTAGACTATATGTTAGTACAGGTAGTATTTGTTAGTAGTCTATAGACTATGTTACCAGTTATAGCAGGCTATGTTAGACTATGTTAGTAGTCTATGCAGACTATGTTAATAGTCATATTTTAAGTAAGGGGCTGGTGAAGCATGGAAACTTCGAGATTAACCTTGCTCCTGATTTGGAGTTTTCAGGAGTTCTGTTAGGTTATCAGATTCCCTGAACTGTGGCACAGCAGCTGCACTGCTGTGCATCTTATTAACACCTTCTGAAACAATGTAAGCCTATCCCTTTAATATCCTAGGTACTACGATTACCTGCGCTCATGCTAGAACAGTTACAACCTGTTCCCAGAGAACAGCCAGCAGAAACACTTTCAGATGGTGACTCCTGAAATGTAGTCTGTCTGAGAAGTCCTGATGTTCTAGGACATTCTGTGAGAGAATCCATGAGCTCAAGATCATTTTTATAACCATAGTAAGATTTTTGTCTTTTTCAGTGTTACTCTGTCTAGCAGGATTTTCCAGTGACTACAAGTTTTGCAACTAAACACCGGGACAGCTGTGAGAATTCAGCAGGTTCCCTCCATTAGGACAGGCCTGAAAACCATTTGCTTACATGTAGAACAGTGACACTTTTCTCATTAAAGTTTTAGTTTTGAAGAACATGATTACTTTTTCTTTAAAAATGTGGCTTTTTTTGAACCACCAGCCTGAGATTCACGCCATGTTGGAACTTAGGGCGCTGGGAAACCAAGCAACCACCTCGCCTCCCTGCTAAGCGACTGTGAGTGCACCGCTGGGAGTCCACAGGCGCACAGGCTGAGAATCAAACATCCCATTCTTCCCCACCCTCCCCGTGAGCAAACGGGAGCCAGAAATCTGAGCATCTCTTGGGAGGTTGATCATAAGCAATAATAAATAAGGGGGATTTCGTTCTAGCATCTCTTTGAAGGCAAATATTTTTATCACTGCTTTGCTTTGTTCTGATTAAGGGTATTGCTCTATTCAATATTCTGTTTTGATAAATTCTATAATGTTCTGTATTTCATTTGATTTTGCTATACCTGATTGAAAGAACAACTATTATGAAGATAAGATATACTATAGTACCTATTACTGTTATCCTGGGTAGCCTGCTGTTAAGTTCTGTACCAGTTTCACTGCACTGTCTAAAATGGCTTTTTCCATCTTCTTCTATTGTATTTTACTACCTTCAAAATAATAAAAAAAATTTAAATGTCTTTATATTAATAAATAATTGCTTTATCATTACTGAGATAAATTAGTAGCAAACTTATTAGTACATAATTGCTTCATCATTCTATTGCATAATATAATTATGTATTTGACTTCTTTTAAGTTTTGAGTATGGCAACTGTCAGTAGATATGACTAACACAAACTAAAGATCTCTGCAGTTGCCAATAATTTTTGTGACTATCAAGAAGTCCTAAACTGGGTGTGGTGGCACACAACTGTAATCCCAGCACTTGGGAGGCTGAGACAGGAGAAACTGCTTGCAAGTTCAAGACCAGCCTGGGCTACAAAGTGAACTGAAGGCCAGCCTGAACTGCATAGTGAGACTCTGTCTCAAAAAGAAAAAAAAATTCCTGAAAACAAAAGGCTTGAGACCTACTTCTTCAACATATTCATATCACCCCAGCTTGTGTTCCATTGTTAAGTTCTCTTTCTAAAACATCTGAATAAGTCAGGAGCAATTGTGGAAAAGTCCTGCATGGCCCTGTAATCACAGTCATCTCAGTAATACAGTAAATAAGAAAGCCAATTTTCTGGATGCGTTTTTGCTGCCAGTTAGATCAAACTTCCTACAGATCTCTGTTTCTAAAATGTGGATTTAGCTCAGTGGCATAAATGCCTGTGTGGCAAGCACAAAGTCATGAGTTTGATCTCCGGGACCAAAAAATAGAAAAAAAAAAAAACTAATAAAATAAAATGTTAGCTTAAAAAACAAAACCAGGAATGTTCAAATAGATTTGTCAAATTTCAACACAGGCTGTAAAGACAGAGTATCTATGTTCCTCTCCTTTGCTGACCAGATGGAGCAGAGCCCCGTGGTCACATCTTTTCTTGCTAGCTACAAAGTCTTCTATGTGTCACCCATAGAACTGGGGAATAAATACTGTCTAGTCTAAGGCCATCACAGCAATCTCATTCTTCTTGTCCATGAATGACCAGCAGTAAATGCAGAACCTGGTTTGGAAGAGGAGACATTAAGATAAGGATGCTAAGAGATTTCAATAAGCCTTTTTAGACTCCTACATAGAAGGCAGCAGAGTTTACCATGTTGACCTTGGATACTGTCAAGTGTCAGTGTAGTGCCAACAACTCTCACAGTCATCCTGTGACCACAAAAGGGGCCAGACAGAAGACGAAACCAAATATCCAGATGATAAGCTTTCAAAAAAAAGGGAGAAATAAATTCGATAGATGACTTTGTGCAACTATTGACCCAACTAGCTATGTAAGCCGTTATATCTCTGCCTTCCTAGGATGTCATGTGAGTGCACCAGTTGTTGGCAGTTTCTGACAACTACAGTTGAAAACATCTTTACTCATACTCTAAAGGTGTGATACTAGGAAAATTAACTTTCTGTGCCTTAGTTTCCTCTTATGGAAAACAATCATGTCTACTTCTTATGATTATTGTAAGAACTAAATTAGTTTATACTTATAAGCATTTTGGTGCTTGATGCATAATAAGTCCTCAAGCAATATTACCCATTATTGGTGGCGTGATGGTGATTGGCACTACTACACTGTCATGTTTCGAAATGTTATTTTTTTCATCATGTTTGGAGAAAAGTATGAAACCATAGTATTTTGGTTACTTTTCTCTTGTTGCTGAGACAAAATACTTGACACTCAAAATTAGGGAAAGAAAGGTTTATTTCTTACAGTTCTTGGAGGTTTCAGTCCATACTCAGCTGGCTGCAAGGCAGGGTGCCATGGCTGAGGGTGGGGCAGTCCTTCATAGCTGTTGCAAACAGCAAGGTGTACACCGGTAAGAGAGAAAAACACATGACTTTTTCCCGCCCCTACACAGTATGTTGGCTCCACCCTGAGTGGGTGTAGCACTCATACCACCAATCCAAGTGCTAAACAATGAACCAACCAAAGATGCTAGATTCAGCGGTGTCCATGATTGCATAAGACTTGAGGGGCCATCTGATATAAACTATAACACATAGCAATATTCAACTAAGGAAGTACAATTTGAAATAAATTTTTAATATTCAAAATGATTTCTAATTAATTCCTCTAAATTCTCAACTTCCACATGCTCATCCATATTACAATGATGATAGACCTGTCTACAGCATTTTCTGAGTTAGGAAGGAACATCTGAATTTAAATTAAAAGTTCTGGTGTTTTGACACAGAAAATTGTATTTTACATTAGTCTAATTCACTGTAGGTGCCCACATGTATTCTTATGGACATACACTATAGCCCTGAGGATCCTGGTACATTCTTTTCAGATATGCCAAGAACAAAAAGTTCTCACTAATCTTTCTGCAGACCATTTCTCAGAGCTATATGTGTAGTGAGCAACTCGGAAGGATGCAGCTGCAGCTTTCTCTGCCAGGAAGCAGATTTGTTCCTGCCTCCATTTTTGTCCTCTGGTACTGGAGAGGTAACACAGGGCCTTTGCACTGAGAGGTATGCTCAGTCTTCTTTTTTAAATTATCTTTTAGAGACAGGGTCTTACTAAGTTGCTTGGGTTGGTCTCAGACTTTTAATCTCTTGCCTCAGCCTTCCCAAAAGTTAAGATGTTATTGATGTTATAAAAATGGTGAGTCCCAAAGCTCAGGGGTCTTCTTCAGTGTAACTTATGGTATGTCCAGTCATCTGGGATTAGTCTTCTGGGTCATCATCGTGGGGACTAGCAGCAAAGGATTCAGCACAAATGGACACAAAGTTCTAGCTACCGTTGTTTTTGTTTTGTTGGATAAAAAAAATCCGTGGTTTCTGACCCAGGGATTTTTTCTCTTCTGCCAAAGAACATGGAACAGTAACAGGGAAACTACTAGTGACTAAGTAGGGTAAGATCTCAAGCCCTGCATGGTCTGTATCAAGCCCACTTAAAATGCTTGTTATTTTGGATGCTGCTGTGGTTTTTATCTAGATGCCCATCAAAGCTTCCTAGGCTCAGATAGTAGGCTTTGGAAAGATGATTGAATTTGGAGGGTACTACGGCTGAGTGTGGTGCTAGGAGGTGGGGCATGGTTAAAAGAGGCTAGGACAGTGCCCCGGAAGGTCATATCTCCCTCACCCATTTTTCTCTTTGCTCTGTGCTTCTAGGCTGCCATGGTGGGAGCAGTTTTCCTTCTGTCAAGGCTTCCTCTCACAGAGCCAGCTCAGCTTTACCTCTCCTCCTTTAAATGGCGGGTGTTGGGTATTATATTTCAGTGACCAGAAAATGACTAAAACAGATATTTTTTTATTATTTATTTATTTGGTCTTTCTCCTTTTTATCAGTACTGGGGATCGAACTCACGACTGCCTGCTTGCAAGGCAGGCACTTATGCCACTGAGCTAAATCCCCAACCCCCAGATATCTTTTTTTAAGATACAACAATCAACTGAAAAGATTATCAATATTTAAGGCTGCACCTACTTAAAATCTACAACCATCTTTGAAAATCATTTGTGAAAATTACCACTAAATTACTACTCTCATGTTAAAAAACATGCAATTGTACTGCACTATAGAAATGAATGAGTCATATGAACAAAATTAAATAAACATATTTCCAAAGTTGTTTATAGCAAAGTAGGAGGAAAGAAATTTTTAAGAGATGATGACAAAATTTCAGAAAAGTGTTCTTGATTCTTTTCAAAGATGACAACCATTATTAAATACAAATTGTACATGTGGGATTATTTTTCCCCAGAAATTGGATTTTAGAAATGTTCTCTTTTTGATATATATTGTAGAACCTTTTAAAACATAAAACAAAAAATTATTATACTTTCAGCCCTCCCTGGTGGTGTTTATTCCTAAAACTCTGGGAGGTTGAGGCAGGAGGAAGGCAAGTTCAAGCCCAGCCTGAGACAGAGATGGAGAGACAGAGAGAGAGAGAGAGAGAGAGAGAGAGAGAGAGAGAGAGAGAGAGAAAGCTTTGTAGATGTAGCTCAATGTGAAAGCCCTTGGTTTAGTCCCTAGGAACGAACACACACACACACACACACACACACACACACACACACACACCATTATACTTTTAAACATGTGTCTTACAAAATTTAGATAATAATATAGATGTTTCCTAAAGTTACAATAAGTCTAAACTTTAAAAAAAAAAA